TTTTTTTGCGTGAGTTTGTTCGGTCTCGCCCCTCCTTTGTAATGGACTGCGTATATAAAGTGGGGATCATTAAGAATGCTGCTGTGGATACATATAAATGGTTAATATAAATAAAAACAATTTTGAGAATTGCTGACGGTAGTGTCTGCAGTTTTTTCCCCTTTTTTTTAAACATTAGCTGCAAGTTCTAAAAAACATCTTTATCTTATGGTCAAAGAACATTTTAAGGGTATTTCTCTTAAAGAATTAATGTTTTAACATTCAAACCATCTGACCTGAAGAGTCCAAATCTAATTTTCAAATTATTTTTGCTGTTTAAGTTGGTATTGTGTTGTATTTAAAATAAATGTGTGTTTAAACAATCAGACGTTTATTGGTTTTTAGGGCACAAATTAAGAAAGCATCACTGAGGCTGAAGAAGTGGCTGATTTTCTTTGTTTTAAGTCGTGCTTTTAATGAATTTGAGGACAAAGAAAAGGAAACTAAGCAAACTCAGAGTTGCAGAAGTGATTCGTGAGATAAAAGATGAAAGACAAAAAATCTAAAATGCAACTTCTATGAGCTTTTAGATGCTCTGGTTGAGGAGTTTGTGGGAAAATAGTTTGAAGACACTGAAGTAGCTGAAGATAAAATGACACTTGATTGTAGAAAAATTAGTTGTGTGATAATAAAATGAGTGACGGCTGACTTTCATTAAGCCGTTTTATTTAAAGTCCTGCTTCTGCTCGCTGTCATGTTGTCGAGTATCTGAGGCTCTTAAACAGAAGCTTTCTGATGCCGTTATTAAACTTTCCTGCTATGACAAGTTAAAATACCCTTTTCTGCTTTTAAGTGTCAGCAACTGCAGCTAAGCATAAATTACCATCAGGTGGAAGAATAATCCTGGCTGGTCTTTACACAGAAACGAACATGTCGGAGAGATTAAGATGTTTTCAAGTGTTTTCAGTCAAACGTCGTCGCTGCTTTTTTTGTCGTAACAAGTTGGACTGTAGCTGAATAAACAGAGCTGATGAGCAGCTTTCTGGTTCAGACGGTCAGAACCAGTAATCCATGTTAGAAATAACAGAAATAAAAGTGTTTAAAGGGGCCTCTGTGTCTTTGAATGTTAAAATAGACCTTAAACCTTAAAAAAGGGAAGACGGTGACAGTAGTATTCTGGGTAAATAAGTAGTTGGACAGCAACAGAGGTGTTTTTTGGTGGAATAAACCTTTAAAACCACAACTCATTAGTGAGAACACACTATCTGGGAAAAATAAACCTTTAAAATAAGTTGTCAACAGTAGAGTATTGGGTGGATTAAACCATTTAATTCTAAATATTTGCACAGAATGTAATATTTTAGCTGAAATAAGCCTTTAAATGATAAGTACTTCAACTAAATGTAGTATATTTGGTAAAATTAAACTTTAAATTCTCAGTATTTGGACAGAATGTAATGTTTTGGGTAAAATGAACCTTCAAACTGTAGGTCCTTGGACAGGATGTTTTATATTGGGTGTAATAAACCTTCAAATTATAAATACTTGGACAAAATGTCGCATTTTAATAAACCTTTAAACTATAAGTAGTTCAACAAGATGTAGTAAACTGAGTAAACGACACTTTAAATGATAAATACTTGGACAGAATGTAGTGTTTTGGCTGGAATAAACCATTTTGGGGGTCATCCACTTCGGTAGGGGGCGCTGTGGCCCAATACAAGGGTCCTGGTAGTGCTGTCCTGAAACTGCAGCCTCCTGCGCTGACATATAAAAGTGAAATAACTCCAAACATCTGTCTGGATTTAATAAACTTTATATAAAAGATGGCATTTCTGTTTTAAAACATCCAAGATGGCGGCTGTCGACGCGGTTCTCCTTCACTTTGGTTTCGTCCAACCGCGGCACCACCGAGGAAGAAGCGGCCGAGCCGGTGGAGGAGGAAGAACCGGTACAGCTCCGTGAGCCGCCGCTGACACATGGCCGAGCCGGTTCGGCGGCAAGTTTCAGCTGAAATATTTCCTCCGCAGTAGCCGCCTCCCGTGTCCCTCTCATGGCGGAGACAGCAGAGAACCGCGGCCCTCCGGCTGCTGGAGGTGACCCGACACCGAGCGACCCGGAGCCGGGCGGCGGGGCAGGTGACCCGACGGTGGCGGTCCCTCTGGGGCTGGACCGGGATCGGAGGAAGAAGCTGGTCCTTCATGTGGACCTGAACAACACCATCCTGGTGTCGGACGCGGTGACGGCTCAGGGGACGGTGGCTGCCCTGGACTCCTTCCTGACCACCGTCACCTGGGGGCGGATGAACAAACACGGTAAACCGGACAGCGACGGTCAGGATGCTAATGTTGGTTCCAGTTCAGAACTCCATTCAAAAAACAGCGAATTTAAGCCGCTTTCCTTCACTTCCCCTCAACAAATGAGCTGTCAACAATTCAAAATATTCGGATATTATTATTAGGTAGCTCATCACTGGCTGGGCCGGGTAACAGGTCAACTTCACAAAGATCCAGGGGCGCTTCCAGAAACGTCTCAGTGGGGGGGCCGGATGGGAACAATGGACATTTACACAAAAACACCAAAACCTGAACCCAGAACTGAACTACAGGAATTCTATTATCTGTGGTTGTGTGACTGTTACTTTAAATCTGTGTTCATAGGGGGGGGATCACCCAATTATGATTAAAGTAATTAAAGTTCTGTCCACCAGTGATGACAATTCTCCATCTAAAGCTAATTATGGTGCAGTTAAATGCATCTGTATTGTTAGTCAGCTACTCTTTGGCACGTTTTAGGTGGTATATTCTATGGAAAACCTGGTTTATGTGGGTATTTCCACTTATCTGAGTTAGTCAGTCCCTCGTGGTGGTAAAAACAAACCACTTGTGGGTCAAAAATGTAAGAAAATCTCCCATTTTTGTTCTTTTAAACATCATTATCGCGCCCATTGACTATTTCAGTGTTAAGATTTCTGTCCATGTCTGATGATTCATCAAACTAAAGCCAATTACGGTGCAATTGAATGCTTTTTGGTGTCACTCAGCTACTCTGTGCTATACTTTGTAGTTAATTTCGACAGGACACCAGGTTTTTCCAGGTATTTCTGAACATCCAGGTGACTCAGGCCTCGGCCGTGTTGAAAACAAACCAGACTCTGGTCAAAAATACAGGAAATGTCATATCATTGTTCTCTTAAGCTTGGAATCATGGCGCCTGAAGGTTGCAAAGCATGATTGTTTTTTAATTTAATATCCCTGCAGTGTCGCCAGTAGTTGTGCCACACACTTCCATCATCTATGCAGGTGTTCTGAGTCATGTTTGCCGACTAGTTTTGCATTTAGACTTGTCAAATGCTAATTTAATTGTCGTACGCTATTTCAATTTAACCCACATGCAGCTGCACGTAGACGAAGTTTCACATATTGATAGAGGACAGTTTGGTGACGCTGCTTCTCAGACCTCCAGAGTTTATTAATGATTTGAATGTTAAAAATTCAGACGCCAGTTTATCTGACTAAAGCCAGTTACGGCACGAGTCGATGCTCGTTGTATTTTGGTTGTTACGCTCTATAACGGCATCAATATCATGTCACTGCTGCAAATATCCTGCTGTGAAACGACAAAGTGTCCCTCATAAAACAACTTGTAATGACAGAATAATATTTTTAAAAATCAAATAGACTAATAAAACAGACGATTAAAGTAAGTAAGTGATAGAAAATGAGAGAATTGTCAAAGTGGTGTGTAGAAGTGAACGTGACCATGAGGCAGGAATACACATAATATGACAGTATTGGTCTTTCTGTGGCCTGTTATCTGTTGCTGCTGGATTTAAACCTCTCCATGTGACCCCTGTTGTGTCATCTCTGTGCAGGAACCTGGGAGTGGCTCAGCGACTCGCCCTCCTTGCTGCCGCCCTGCAGCGACGCCGTCTCCTACTACTCCCAGTTCGGACGGACGCCCGGTTTCACCTCAGCGGCCGGGCGACGCTTCCGGGGGGTTCTGGACGAGCATCTCGACCTGCTCCGCTGGCCCGAAGGCGCCAAGGCAAGAGAGAGACAATAGAACGTCGTGTAGCGTCAGGAAACTGATCTCAAGTTCTGCCCTGAGAGAAAAGCCGTTCCTCTTTAAGCACCGTTATGTTTTACATTCAGATTTCTCATTTAGTCAAGAAAGATGCAGCAACAATGCAGCACTAAAACCTTTTTGCATCTAACATTTTCCTGATATATGACAACATTCATGAGCAAACAACCATTTATTATCTGAGTTTAGTTCTTATACGCTCTATTTTTAATGATTACCTGACAGCTCTGCATTGTATAAATGAGGTGCACATGTTGACTTGACTTGTGGAGTTTTAGGTTTCAGCCAGATATGAATCGTCCGTCCTGCACAGCTGGAGGTAGAATAAACTCAAACATGTCTTTTGTGCAGCAAAGTTCTAATCACTAAAAACGAAACAAAACTAAGTTGATTTTTCTGGATTACTTTACAAAAAATGAAAAAACTTGATGCACAATAGTGAAAAGTGTCCACAGGTGAAACCAACACTGTGGAAAAAAGTGCCTCTACAAACTATAGATATTATACTAATTGTGTTTTTAATTAATTTCCGTCCTTGCCTCCTCTCTGCTCGGTGTAAACACTGTCTGCAGTTCAGCCGGAAAACTCCCTGAATTTTTAACACATGACTGTTGATCGTAGCCGAGTCACTAAAAGCTTCACGGTTACGCTGACGAACTCAGAATTTTTTGTTTTTTGCAGGATCGCGTTAAACCAAAAGTTTGTTTTAATAAGAAACTTCTAATGAGACATTAAAATACCACAATGTTATGCTAATAAAACTGTCCACGACGCATCATTACTTCAAGGACCAGTGAATCTTTCTGTTTTTAAAGTTTCTGATGGAGAATTTCTTGTTGTTTTTTTTTTACAGGATCAGGTGAAACCAAAAGTTAATTTTGGGGAAATTGTAAACATAAAATGTAGAATAAAGTGATTTTGATGCTCTTAGATTTGACCAGAATCTCCAGCAGGACCGTACATCATGCATGATTACTTCAAGGACCAACAAATCTTCCTGTTTTTGATAAATGGTGTAGTTTCAACAGTTTTATTTAAAGGGATCAGTATGTTTAAAAAGCAAAATAACTCGGGGTATTCTGTCGTCTTTACAGCTGCCACTTTGGTCAGGAATTAAAGATTGGATTTCCATAAAGCTGAGACACTTTTGATCAACAGTCAAATTTAAAAAAACAAAAACAAACAAGAATCGTCAAACCTGCTGCAGCAGAGGTTCAGATATCTCAGCTATGAGTTCCTGGGTTCTACATTTCCCATAATGCAACTTGGTACTATTTGTCATTGAACTTATAACAGAAGTTTTTTTCTTTCTTTTTCTGCAGATATATTTTTACTGATTTCTAAGAACAATCTTTTTAGCAATGTGCAGCTCATGTCAGATGGATTCATTCTTATATTAACGCTTGATGTGGCCACTTTAAATCTCTGCATTATGCACTTTATAATAAGATGAACTCTTTTTTTTAACTGTTTGGAATTAAGGAAAACTGGAGCTTGTATTCAAATGAGTGTTAAAGGATTAAGCCCAAACAATAAGAAGTGTTCTTGGAAATAATGTCAGTATAAATAAGACAGTCTGGCTTTATTGTGTTTATATGCAAGTAACAGACTGGTTTACTGGTGAAATGCTGCTTTTCACGACTGGGTTTCTCTTCCTGCAAACCAGTTTGGCTGTTTGCTGACTCGGTTTTTTTTCTCCCTGCAGAGCGACAAAGATCTGTCGGTGAAAGGAGAGGACGGACGCCTGTACCACTGGATCCTCCCGTCCTTCTTCCAGCTGCTCAGGGACCTGGTGCAGGAGGGACGGGACTTCGCCGTCGTGTTTCGGACGTTTGGAAGCGACCTGCCTCGCGTGCTGAGAGCTGTGCACCGAGCGCTGAGCGAGGGAACTCACCCGCTGTTCCCCGACCTGCCCGACCTCAAGGTGAGGTCACATCACACACGTTCATCAGACAAAACGAGGCTCTGTTGTCATGTAAAGCAATAAAGCCTCAAGCAATTAGAAGACAGAAGAAGTCGTATAAATGCTTCCAGTGTGCAGGACTGTGCTGCCTCGTTTGTGATGTAAACACCTTGATGGCTGGAGGAGGAGGAGGCAGTGTCTATCTCAGGGATGTACCAAAGTATTCCTTCTATGAAAGAAACAACCCGTTTTAAACCAAATCAGAGCTCCAGACCAGCGTTTAGTTTCACGGCTGACACAGTTGGTCGCACCAGGATGAGTCTGAAACGAGTGAAATCGGGCGTTCAAATGTCAGGTTTGTCCAGAAATGAAACCCGGTGATTTATTTTGCATTTAAATACGTCAGTGCTGCCGTCAGTCTTGTTCATATAATAGCAGGAAGTCATAATTATGGTAGTGAGGTAGTCGCCTTCTGCTTTCTAATAATGTTTCAAAGAAAACATGTCAATCTAACGCTCTAAGAATGTTTTACGGATATTTATTATTTCAAATAATGTCCCTGTGAGGACAAAAGGTCATTAAGACGTAATGTTTTCATTGCAACATGCAGAGGATGTTTTCAGATTTTGATAAACGACAACAAAAGAAAAAACGTTTTCAAGATGCAGTCGAGACGTTCCTGTAAAGTGAGAGATTAACAACATTTTGCCTGTTGTGTTCTAAGGATGTTGTTGAGGTACGTTCTTCGGTTAAACATTCTCACAACGTTACACGATAACAAACGACGAATGCAACAGTCTGAAAATTTTAAAGAGTCTATCCAGCCTTTGTGAAGAACA